AGAAATCCCACACAAGACAGGCTCTAGAGCAGGGGTGCCCAACCTTTTTTGAACCAAGAGCTACTTTTGAAGTCGGCAATTTGCCGAGAGCTACTCGTCCAGTCTCATTATCAACAAACATAATTTTTCATCAATCCCTACTCCTCACTTATTTAAAGTAAATAAAACAGAACGTGATGTGTCTATAGGAGACAACTTTTTATGCAAGCTGTATAAAATAAATGTGTCTCTACCTTAGTGGGACTTCTGACACTGAGAGGAGGAGGCCAGGGTCTCATAAGCTGGGCAGTATGAGGTGGTTGCGAGGCGCAGGCAGGTCTCCAGATGATCATCATTCATTGTGGATCTGTTTTTGGACTTGATGATTTTCATGTGTGAAAAAGCAGACTCACACAGGTAGGTAGATCCAAAAAGTGCTGTTAAGTTCAAAGCACATCTTCGGATGTTAGGATACTTTTCTTCTGACAGCAGACTCCAGAACTCTCCATCCACGCCAGGTGATGCTCTGGATTTGATCCCAATGTCATTTTGCAGAGTCAACACCTCATTTTCAACACCAGAGCTGTCCAGCTGAAACACAGACACCAATTTGGACACAATGTCATCCACATCAACATTTCCAAAAGGATAACACATGTAGCTGGTAACAGGCTCGATGGAGGAAAAGTCAGTAAATCGTCTCTCAAATTCTGCTGAGATGCTCTGAACCTGCTTAGAATAGTGTGCACTGTCCAGTTGTGGGACCTCTTTCCCTTGGCGCTGTAGCTCTGCCTCCATGTGTGGGACGTTTCGCAGGTCCCTGCGTTGCAGCCGACTTGTGAGCAGTTGCAGCCTGCTTTTGAAGGTGCTCACAGAACTGATCATGTGGATTATGTTTTTGTCCTTTCCCTGAAGCTCCAAATTCAGTTCATTGCGCAGGCTGGTGAGATCTGTGAGGAAGGCTAAATCCAAAAGCCACTGGGTGTCCTCTAGTTTTGAATGTTCACCATGATCTGACAGCTTCAGAAAATCCCTGATCTCAGGCAACAGCTCACTGAATCTGTCCAGAAATGTACCTCTGCTTAGCCACCTGACGTCCATGTGCAGCAGCAGGTCTGTGTGGTCTGCTCCTGCCTCCTCCAAGTGAGCCCAGAACAACCTCCTCTGCAGACTCCTGGCCCTTATAGAGCACACAGTTTTCATGGCAACATCCATCACTTCCTTCATGTTTAAAATCTTCCCACACAGGGCCTGTTGGTGGATGATGCAGTGATAGTGCAAAATGTCTGGGAAAGCATCATTCTGCTTGCAGAGTGCAACAAATCCACTGGTGTGACCAGTCATTGCTGGAGCGCCATCAGTTGTTATAGAAATTAGTTTAAAGAGGGGCAAGTTGCTTTTATTAACAAACTCCATAAACGCATTAAAAATATCTTCTCCTCTTGTGTGTCCCTTCAAAGGCAAGATGGTGAGCAGCTCCTCTTTTGCACTCATGTCTACAAAGGCCATTCTGATAAAAAACACACAGCTGGGCTACATCCACCATGTCTGTCGACTCATCAAACTGAAGAGAGAAACACTCACATTGTTCCACGTCCTTTTTTAGCTGCTCCTCCACATCTACAGCCATTCCCTCACATCGCCGTGTCACTGTTTGTCTGGACAACTGCACGTCTTTAATAGCAGCTACGATCTCACTTTTATTTTTAAAATCATGAAAAAGCGCATCTGCAGCCTCAATAAACGCTTCTTTCATAACTTGTCCATCGCTGAAAGACTTCTTATGTTGAGCCAGGATGCGGCTAACACGGTAGGAAGCTATCGTAGCAGCTTTACCTTTTGTGCTGGGCCGAGTGAAGACTGATTGCTGGGCTGCAAGCTTGTTTTTTAGCTCCCGCACTTTCTGAGTCCGTAAAGAACTTTTAAGAGGGAAATCTGTCTCAAACCGTTTGTGCATCGTCTTGAAATGCCGCTCCAAGTTACACTTTTTGGGTAAGGCAACGCTCGAATTACATATGAGGCAAATGGACTTCGAATTAGAATAAACAAAAAAATATTCCTCCTCCCACTCTGTGTGAAAATAATAAGTTTTCGTTTGCTTGTTCGCTAGTTTTCCATCCATGTTTTCTGCGCACCAACATTACTCCACTACTGAGCCTAAAGTCTCGTGAGAGCGCTGTGTCACCGCACACAAAACTCGCGAGACTATGTCTGTGAGAATACAAGTCAAGGTTTCGCTTTGCGGGCGACTGGGAACCAGCTCACGGGCGACCGGTCGCCCGCGAGCGACTGGTTGGGCACACCTGCGCAATGTGGATATCCTAACTGGGCCTTCCTGAAAGCAGAGAAGAAACCCAAACAGGACTCCAGTCAGCCAACAGGTGAAAAGGAGGAACCCAGACCCAGACCAGTGGTCATTCCATATGTTGAGGGAGTATCAGAGAAACTGAGACGTTTATTTTCTAAACATAACGTCCCAGTGGCTTTTAAACCCCAAAATACATTACGGCAAAGACTGGTTCATCCCAAAGATCCAGTCCCCCGGCACAAACAGAGTAATGTTGTGTATGCTGTTCAGTGTCAGGAGGGCTGTGATCAGTCTTACATCGGGGAAACAAAACAGCCACTGGCCAAAAGCATGGCCCAGCACAGAAGATCAACATCATCAGGCCAGGACTCTGCGGTCTACACTCATCTCCAGGCCAGCGGTCACTCTTTCAGGGATGAAGATGTTCACATCCTGGATAGAGAGGAACGATGGTTAAAGAGAGGAGTAAAGGAGGCCATCTTTGTGAAAAGAAATCATCCATCATTAAACAGGGGTGGAGGCCTCCGGGTTCAACTGTCCCCCTCTTACAATGCTGTGATTGCTAGTATCACTCAGCCCTCTGTGAACAGTAAACAGCCATCAGTGTGCTAATGATCCATTGTTAGGCTGATAGTCCTTCTTGAGCATGTGATCAGCTGGTTTTGGTTGTCAGCAGCAAAACTGGTTGATCCACTCTGAGACGGTGCTATTTAAGAGACTGAGCTGAATACAGCTACTCAGACTGAGGAAGTCTCTCGGATGAGAGACGAAACGTTTCTACATTTTTTTTGTTGATTTGCTTTGTTTTGTTTTTTTGAATGTCCAGAGGACCAGATTTAACTTTTTTAGAAGGTACTCAAAGCATTTCACAAAATAATCTGTCCTCATTTACATAGACACACACATTCATACAGCACTCTACTACACACACATTCATACAGCACTCTACTATACACACATTCATACAGCACTCTACTACACACACTTTCATACAGCACTCTACTACACACACATTCATACA